GACCCTAGCCGCCAGCCACTCAATGGCCTGCACGGGGAGGACCACCACGCCTGCAGGGCAACAATGACATGGGATTGGGCACAGCTTTAGGAAGGTCATAAAGTGACGGGCACAGATCCCGAAGGCCGCAAACTGACGGGCAGAGGTTGACACAATGATGCGCACACGAGTCCTGTGCAACCCCATATATGTGAACGAGACATCCCACTACCACTCCTCCGGCATGTGCCTGAGTGTCCTGCATGTGCGTACTCATACCTGCTGGGGCGATCTGCTGTAGATGTTGCACCGTGCTCACGATGGTTTCAGGCTCATCCTCACTGGCACTTCCCCAGCTGAACCTGGACTGCAGAGGCCAGGGCTTCACAAATGGACAGCAGCATGGCGCATGAACGGCTGTGACGTAGTTGAACCGCACACTCACCGCCTCCTCTATCTGCTTGCGTTGTGCCGATGAGCAGGATGACAGAGTGACCGTGACTTTGGGGGCAGATAGCTGGAGGTTCTGCGCAGCCGACAGGCAGGGCGTGCTCGGACGGGGTGGTTAGGGTGTGTTGTACGGAAAGGAGCAGTGCTCGCAGGCAAATGAGTGCACCAAAGGTGATAGCATACCCCTTCAATTGTGACCCTGCACAACAAGGGCCAACCCTCACCGTCAGAGTCGCTTGAATCTCGTTAAGAGACATTGCAAGCTTCTCGAATTCCAGCCGCGTCCATGCGCCTCCTGCACAGCGGCGCGCAAGGATGTAGATAGCCATCAAAACTGAGCAGCACAACACGCAGCACCCCGCTGTTTATGTATGTTAGACCTTGTTTGACGTTGCAGCCACCCCGGGCGCCTCCTTCCGCATGTGAGCACGGAATGGCATTGCCTGCTGTAGGAGGATACGACATGGTATAATGCACGCAGCGTATGGTCCTGCAAGGGGCCCCATCCTGCACTGCAGCCCCTTGCCACACTCGTGTCGCGTGCAAATCCTTGGTGCATACCATGTCCCAGCACCCCGCCCACCACCTGCTGGTGCTGGTGAACTCCCCTGGTCTGCATCCCCTGTCACTTCGCTCCCTAGACGTTCCTTCGACCGAACACGACCCATCGGTATGGCCATTTATTGTACGACACCGTTCGTTCAGTCATTCCCCATAGTTGGCGCTGGATGCAGCCAACAATTTTCAAGCCTTGGAATGACGGCAACTGATGCTGATGACCATGATTTTTAATGATGATGATCATGATGATGATGATGATGATGGCCATTACAGCAGTTGATTATTGCGGCTATATGCCACCGCCGCCGCCGCTCGGTTGAATTCTCGGTAGTGTGTGAGTTTACCTATCATGATGTTTGTTTGCATATCCCTCCAAGCGAGAGGGCTTGGACCTATGCTGATGTTCGTTACAAGAAGTGAACTGAGGACTGATGCTACACGTCATGTATGTGACGCACCCGCGATGAAAGGTATGCATGTAAATTCGCCCGTGGGCTGAACGCCTTGTAACCCTTCAACTACACTCACAATATACCGCTGCACTATTCTCTCCACTCCTGCCACATCATGTTTCACCGACATACTTCGGCATCTTCCGCATCTATATACTTTAGTACGCGGTCAGCTGCTTCACCAGGACCCCGGTGTTTTGAAGTTGGAAATTGACAGTAGGAACTCACCTTGAGTGTTGAGGATTTGATCCACTCGCGCCGGTCTCAGCCCGGCTCGCTCGAGACTCGCCCGGGTCGCGACCTTCAGGTCGTCTAGCATATTATATCCACCCTGCCATAGCACGCGCAGGTCCTCGTCGCTGAACTTAGCAGCTCCAGCAGATTTGAGCCACGCCTCCAAAGGCGCGCGCAGGTTGAGCCAATCCATAGTCTAGCCTCTGATGTATCTTAATAAATTCAAGAATATGAAGAAGTGAACGGCGGCGGAGTCCCGCTACACCGAGGCGGCAGATTTGGGTGGTGGTTTGGACACACGGTAAGTTGCTGCCAAATTTAGGGGTAGTATAGGAAAATATTTGTCCTCTAAAGGGCAGCACTAGATCGCTGGGAACAGGAACCCCTATGTTCCCTATGAAAGTTGTTCCAAGAACAAACCCCCTTGTTCTTAGTTTCTTAAACTTGTTCCTAACCTTAGATATGCTTCAATTTGCCTTTTTCGCCCTTTGTACACTATTTATCACGATAATACGAACCGCTCGTCAAACCGGTCGCACGGACAAGGTCCAACCAACGAAACGGACGCTGCTTGTCATTATTGCAACTCCACTAGGGTGCGCATGGGTGTTTTGAAACCTCTAAAGGACCCTAGCACTGCGCTGCACGAAAGTCGTAAGGGTACGCCCGGTGGACGAGCGTACCTTAATTGCTCCATTTATAGGATAGGCGCGTGGGAATGGCGGGGAAGACGAAGCGAGATGCCGTAAGCGCGCCTTGCGCGATTGAAGGTGAAACGTTCATTATTTGTCATGTTCATGTGGTTGTTACAGTGGGCTCCAGACTCCCGAAGAGTAGAGCCATCGGGCCAGCTGGCCGTGCACTGCAGTAGAGACTAATATACCAATAGAGACCATCACCTCAGATAATTAACCGCTCATCGGTAACCGCTCCCGTGAGCACAGCAATTTGCCAGATATAATTCTCAAGAAGGGGTGATGTGCGCCAACAGAATCCCAACCTTTCCGTGGAATTCCCAAAGCTGCGAAACCCTGAATGCGGCCCCAAAGTCAACAATAACTCGACAAATGGCTTCTTCCGTAAGGGAAGGGCCAGGTAACAGTGCCAGGTTGGTTTTCATGTTTTCAGCCATATAACGTCTCCCATGCTCCATGGCTGACACCACAGCAAGAGCCACAACATCCCAAACACATTGTTGCACTGATTGTGGGGCTTGGACAAGCCAAAGTTGCTCCCTTGAGACTGGCAATCCTATGAAAGAGTAAGTTGATCTGC